GTGGAGTGAGCATCAGCTGCATTTGCAGATTTTATGTGGGCATTGCAGTATGCATCTTTCAAGTGACATTTGTGTTCTGACATCCAGAACATATATCTGCTACATGTGTCAGATAGATCCTGAAAGCAACAGGAAACAGACCCAGTTTTCAACTGTAACTGGAGTTGGTAATAGCAGTTTGCAACTGTAGAGCAGAGCTGCAACTGAATAATGGAATTGCTAGTGGATTCTGCAAAGTGGTACGGATGTTGACATAGGACGAGGTCGATTCCACTATTATGTAAGTAATAGATTTTCTTCAAGGATCTTTTGAAAAACAGTGTCAGAGCAGTGTAAGGGAAACCTGTTGATGCACAGCATTGTGCACAACTGGCTGGTGTCTAGAGCTTACAGCCCCTATTTGTTATGGTAAAGGTCCCCGGGCAGAAGATAGCAGGATAAGGGCCTTCCTCCACGCACAGCTTGCTACTGGCCAAACTTCCGGCAAGAGCTTCAGAATTTTCTTGTTGAACCCTTGCCACACTACGTCCTGTATATTAGTTGTTATGCCAGGGCTGGGCAGCCTTCTTTTTGACCGAGTTGGAGGAGGTGGCTCCGTGCTACTGCTGTCAGCACGGTGGAAAAAACGCCCTCGTTCCACCGTTAGGTGGACAAATTGAGCTGCAGCTGTATGGTTGCTCATGGAAAATAGTGCAACAGCCCTGCATTACATACAAAGATTGTATTTTGTGATGGTCTTCGTCAGAGCCACTGCTTGGTTCCTTGTTGTGTGCTCCAGCTTCTTTGGTAGCATGGAAAATTCGAAATCCATAAAAGTGTGGTGGATATACTGATGGGTCAGTGTACTGGCGGCGCCGCTCATAATACCTTGTGAAAAGTTCTGAAAAAAAACTGACGACGTAGATTGAGTGCTCATCTGCTCAGGAAAAGTTAGCAAAAGCGAAAAGAAGAAGATGTAGGAAAAGTTAGCAAAAGCAAAAAGGAAAAAACGTAGTTCTGGATGGCTAATGAAATCGTGGCAGCTAAGTATGCGTATTTTTGCACCCTGCTGGACATGGTAGGCTCAGGACCTTTTGGCTCGGTGCTCCAGGCTGGTGAAGGCCAATAGGTTCCCTGAAATAGCTCCAGGCTGGACCTTTTGGCTCCATCCAGGTTCCTTTAAACCACCAGTACGCCGTGGGGCTACCCTGCACGCACCTGCGGTTAACCAGTGTCTGTTGAGAGGCTTTACTGGACCAAAAGCCTGGTGGTGCCTGGTAGGCCCTTGAGCATGATTGGTGGGGATTCTAGGGGCGGGCAGAGCAGCACATTGGAAAACAGACGCTTGGAGTGACTGGTGGTTAAGACGAGAGAGAGTGATACTCCTCTGTCAAAGCTTCAGAGAACTTCTCTGGGCAAATGCTGGCTTAACCCCTGAGACATACTCTCTCTCTCTCTCTCTCTCTCTCTCTCTCTCTCTCTCTCTCTCTCTCTCTCTCTCTCTCTCTCTCTCTCTCTGTGTGTGTCTCTCTCTCTCTCTGTGTGTGTGTGTGTGTGTGCGTACTATGTTCTGAAGATATGTTGTCTGGTCACCTTTCATGGCAATACTGCGCCTTCCCGAACAACCCTAACTGGCAGAAAATGTCGTTTTTTTCCGTTATGATGGATTGTCTATCTTTTCTCTTTCTAGGCATGACAGTGGGCCTCAAGGCGGACACCATTCTCTGCACGCTGCACATGTCGGGTCAGCACCTCCAGGTGATGCCTCAATGCTTGAACGAAGGTATGGATGGAGCGAAGCAACAGAGAACTTGTTCCGTCCGGGTTCACTCGGATCAATGGGAACTGGGCTTGGAGGCGTACCTATAGGCCTGAACGGTGGCACCCTTGACAACGGGCCTTCTTCCCCATTGGGAGTGATGTCACCCCAGCACCGGAACATCAGCTCAGGGCGACCATCAAGTGCGCAGTCTGGTCCTCAGGCGGCCCCAGAAGGTGAGTGTATGGATGCGCACTGCATGTTGCCTTTCATGGCAAGGAAACCTGCTGGAAAAATGCCTTCATCCCGTTTGTCTGTACCCTCAGTTGTCTTTTCTATTTTCGTAACTGACAACTGAAATTGAGGCCATAGGGTGAGAATTTAGAAGGGTTTGGCTCACTTATGTCTTGCCGAATGTCTTGTTGCCTTTTGTGAGATTTTGACTGCCTACAGGGATCTCCATGTGCTCGTCTTTTCCCCTGGAGTATTCCTCTTTTTTTTTTTTTTTTTTTGTTCTTAAATCGGGCTGTTATAGTGCTGGCTCCATATCCATGTGGGGTAGTGTCACTAAGGTTCCATTTCCCTCAACTCATAAAATTACAACAACCAGATAGATTGGTGCTTCCTTCGGTTTGGTCGAAGGACCTTTGAACATCACCAGTGATTCACTACAGGGAAGATTGACCGTCAGGTTGGCCATCTTTCTTAGATTCCTATGTCTAGATTTTTCCAATGCTGTTCAACCAGTATGAATGTTGGCACCCAAAGGAAGGGAGTCGTCAATAGGTTAATAACTTGATAATATTCAATTCTGAGCCATATTTGTGGAGTGGCACATACACACACGGTGCTGACGGCTGGTTGACTACCGTCTTCACCCGAATAGAATGCTCTGTGTTTATTATCGTATCTGGTCTGAAAGTTGCACCGAATACGGCTATAATGGCCGGGCGTTCTATTCAGGTGAAGACGGTAGTACTATCCGGGAACCTTGCTGAAGGCTTTTCCCGGTTCTAGAGGAGAGAGATCATACCGACAGCAGATGGTGGGGTGCGGGGACCTGAGGCGGATGAATGGAGGCATCCAAGAGGGGAGGAGAGAGGCTGGTGCCAATGGAGTTGCTGTGAAGTGGCAATGGAAAAGGGAGAACTGCATGGTTCTCTCAGGCATAGCAGGGAAAGAATGGAGGCATTCAAGAGGGGAGGAGAGATGATGGTGGGAGGTTTTAAGAGGGGAGGAGAGATGATGGTGCCAATGGGGTTGTTGCACAATAGCAATGGAAAAGGGAGAACTGCATGCTTCTCTCAGGCATGGAAGGAAAAGAGTGAAGGCCAGGAAAGACTGGAAGGCTAGGATTTCTAAAGTTGGATCTCTTTTTTAAACAAACGATTATGCTGGAATATGGCTTCATGGGGGCCAGCTGAATGAGCTATACCTGTGACGGAATACTCAGTAATGTTGTCTTGTCTTTTTTTTTTTTGGTCCCGTTTTCAAGTGAATTGAAAGAGTACGGTGCTCTGTGTTGCTCAATCGTTTCCTGATAGTGTGAGTAGTTGAGAAGAGTGGGTATTGCCTTTCAGCTGGTGAAGCATGGGCCGTGCAGCTGCGCGGTGATCATAATTTTTTGCTGAAAACTTGCCGAAAAGTGGCTTTTTCTTGCACGAAGAACTTTGTCCGTGTCTATGTGGGCGCCGTTTGTGCGTTAGGACCGACAGGTCTGATAGGCAGTGGTCGGACAATCCAGTCAGAGTTTTCTAGTGGTGTTGTGTGTCAGCTGTGGATGAAAACACTGATTTCAAATGGATGGATGTTGCTGGATCCTACAGCACCTTGTTTTCTGGATACCTACAATGCTGGGGCTGATTCTTCTTCCTTTTTTTTTAATGGGGAAATTTAAGAATCGATCCTTGGCTGCGGTTGAATTGTGGACAGGGTCAAATGGTTCAAGTGGTGGAGGAAGAGGCAGGAGAGGGGACAGTGCAAGCAACAATGCAGACAACAAGAAGCAGTACCAGCTGGATATTGATAAAATTTTGCGGGGCGAGGACCCTCGAACTACACTTATGATTAAGAATATTCCAAACAAGTATGTATGTTGTATCCCTTCCTGCATCGTGAAAACCGCTCAGGACAAGATTTGCTTCTGTTGAAGGTCATCCGCTATCAATCTTTTGATTCTTTTCTGTTCTTTCACTTGTATTTTTATTTTATTAACATTCATTCCAGTTATTTGCTATACTACCGGGCAGGTTGTCTGGATCTGGGCGTTCTGTCCACCCATTGAGAAATCCGTACAACCTAAAAGTCCCACAAAGGAAAAAAAAAAATTATCAGTACCTTTCCCAGCTATTTTGTTTCCATGTGGCAGTTGACCGCTGCACATTTGGTTGCTTGGGCCTACTGGACGGAAAAGGCTGGAGGTGTCAGGCAATTAGTTGCCTTTTTTTATTCCC